TTTGAACTATGGTGCTGGAGAAGACTCTTGAGAGTCCCTTGGACTGCAAGAAGATCAAATCAGTCAATCCTCAAAGAAATCAACCCTGACTGTTCCCTGGAAGGCCAGATAATGAAACTGAAGCTCAAATACTTTGGCCATGGTCGCTTTATCACTCGGTGACGTCTGGTGGCTCCGCTAAACCCCGTTCGGGGTCGCTCACGCAGCAAGGTCCATTGGGGCAGGGCATGGCGGGGGGCCCGGTCTCCGACCTCTCCGCCGAAAGAGCGACTCCCCCCTAGTGCGCCCTAAAGCACCCCCGGATCCGAGCTCCTCTCTTCTGAGGGGCTCGTTCGGGTCTCCGCTCGCGCGGATTCCCTCCTCCACCGCGGGCGGGCGAGGCGCCCTCGGGAGCGACCCGAGGAAGCGTCCGCCATGCGCGGGAGCCAGACCGGAAGCCGGCCCCACCCACAACCAGGAGTCTTATATTTTAATACAGTATATATTTTTTTCAAAAAAGGACACTATTCTTTTCGCCCCCTTTATGCCAACGTGATTTAGAATGTCGGATTAGGATCCTAGAGTGCCGGATTACAGATCCCTGCTTCGCTACAAAGCTCGGCGCAGGCGCTTCCTCTCAGTCCCGCCTGCCCCATGGGGTTTTGGGAAGGATAGAACGTTAAGAAAGAAACACGTGTGCCGTGCTGAACTCCTTGGAGGGAAAGGGCAGGTTCTGAAAGCACAGAACGGACTGATAGGGTGCCACTCTCCCGGCCTTTTTTGGTGTCGTGGTTAGAAGCGCAGGCTCTAATCTGGGAGAACCGGGTTCGATTCTCCACTCCTCCACATGCAGCTGCTGGTGGGACCTTGGGGTTCTCTCAGAGCTGTTCTCTCAGGAGCAGTCCTCGAGAAAGCTCTCTCAGCCCCACCCACTTCAGAGGGTTTATGTTGTGGGGAGGGGAAGGGAAAGGAGATTGTAAGGCGCTCTGAGACTCTAAGTGAAGGGCAGGGTATAAATCCAATCTTCTTCTTCTTTCTCCTCCTCCTCCTCTTTCTCTCTGAAGGCCTTTGCTCTCCTGTTTCCCCCTTCTTCCATACATCCCTCTGCCTCCCTTTGTCACCTCCCTCAAATCTGAAACGTCACATTTCTTGGGTCAAACCCGTCTCCTTGTATCCTGGAATGCACTGCACGTATCGATAACAAAGATGTCAAAGAAGAAGAAGAGATTGGATTTATACCCTGCTGCCCTTCACTACCCAAAGGAGTCTCAGAATGGCTGACAATCCCCTTCCCTTCCCCTCCCCACAACAGACACCCTGTGAGCAGTGTTCCCTCTAAGCTGAGTTAGTGTGAGGTAGTTCACAGTTGTTTAGCCTCCAGCTCACCCAGTTTATTCTTAGCTCAGGAAGGATGGCTCCAGAGCAAACTGATTTATGCAGTAGCCCAATCGCTCGCTCACAATCAGTGTTCCCTCTAAGCTGAGTTAGTGTGAGCTAGCTCATAGTTTTTTAGCCTCCGGCTCACACATTCTTGCCTGAGCTCAGGAAGGAGGGCTCCAGAGCAAACTAACTGATGCAGTAGCCAAATCGCTCACTCACAACTTTAATGCAGGTAGCTCACAAAGTAGAATTTTTTGCTCGCAAGACTCCACAGCTTAGAGGGAGCATTGCCTGTGAAGCAGGTGGGGCTGAGAGAGCTCTTCCAAGGACTGCTCTTGAGAGAACATCTGTGAAAGAACTTGTGACTGACCCCAAGTCACCAAGGATTCCGAAGTTCCCAAGCTCACGGAGGTTGGCAGCTTCGCTACCCTCCAGCGTGAGCCAGCCAACCACTTTTCAAGTAGAAGCACCACTTGGGATCACCCTTCAAAAGGAGAGTTTCCTCTTGCAGGCTGCACAGTGGACGGAAGGCGCACGATGCAATGGCCTTGTAGGGATGGATCGGACCAGCCCCTGGACTTCCCGGGAGTCCGGCGTGTGTGGCTCCCGCTTCTGAGATGGGCAGGAGAAAGAGGCAATTAGGGAATTGCTCAAAACACACCGGCCCAGTGCCCGCATCGTTTGACGGCTGCCTTTCCGCATGGAAAGGGCTGCATTCCTTTGCTACACCTGGATCATGGTCAATTAACTTCCCTGCACAACACAAAACCGCCCAGTCAGTAGGGGAAAGAATTAGCCACGTCCTGGGCCGGTCCCAGCCAACCAGTTTCCCTGCATTCCTGGAAGGATGCCTCGTACCACGCCACGTGGTCAGAGGAGGCCGGAGAATTCATTCACTGACAGGTGTGAACTAAATGCTGCCTCCTTGACATCACCAGTCCCTTCCTGTTATCCTCGCCGGGACCGACTGTTCTGTCCTGTGCTCGACAGGAGCCAATCCCCAGGACAATAATATGCCCTCTTCTCTCTCCTGGCACAAGCAAGCATCAGCGCGGTGGATGAAGTGATCCAAAGTCTGGGGGAAGAACTGCAGGCTCATCGCGCAGAGGTATGGATTCTCTTTACCTATTAGCAGATGGGTAGCTCGGTGCCAGTTTGGTGTAGTGGTTAAGTGTGCGAACTCTAATCTGAGAGAACCGGGTTTGATTCCCCACTCCTCCACTTGCAGCTGCTGGATGACCTTGGGTCAGTCACATGTTCTCTCAGAGCTGTCCTCTCAAAGGCACTTCTGGAAAGAGCTCTCTCAGCTCCATCTACCTCCCAGGGTGTCTGTTGTGGGGAGGGGAAAGGAAAGGCGCTTGTAAACCGCTCTGAGACTCCGAGTGAAGGGCGGGATATAAATCCAATCTCTTCTTCTTCTTCTTCTGTTTTTTGAGCCCCCGGAGGGGATTTTTTATTATTTTTTATAAGACTACAAAAACTACTACAGAAGAAAAAGGAAGGGGGACTACATATATAGGATAAAGCAAAGAACCCACTACTAACTAAAAACCCAAGAGAGGAGATCCTCACTAGCTTAGTTACAACAAATCTTCATTTCGTTTAGATTATTATAAACTGAGTCAAACATTTATAATACTTTCCCTTTAACTCTTAAATTTAACTGTCTAGGAACAGTACCCCCAAATCATCCCATTTCAGAGTTCTCAAAGGCAAAATTCAGAGTCCTTCAGCCTCCACTTCTCCTTTCCTCGTCTCTTCTGCAGCTTATAAGGACTTTTTGGGGCTCCTCTTCTTGATGAAACTGATTAGCCTGGGAAGATTTAGAAGGGAAGGCAATGGCAAAAACGAGGGGGGTTATAGGTAGAACAGCAAACAGTGGCTCATCGAAGAATAGCAAATCCAAGAGTCCAGTAGTATCTTAAGGATGAAGAAAATTTGTGGCAGGGGATGAGCTTTTGCGAGTCACAGCTCCCTTCTTCAATGTCTGTTTGTACCTGTGCAAATTTCTCCACGAGGCTGATGGGTTTCCATTCTGTACGGCTCAATGTGGTGCCTTCCTCGGAGACAGATCAAGACGGGAAGCCCTGTTAGTCTCTCCATAGCAGCAGAAAAGAGCAGGAGTCCAGTCACACCTTAAAAGACAAACAAAATTTGTGGCAGGGGGTGAGCTTTCCGCGAGTCACCGCTCGCAAAAGCTCACACCCGGCCACAAATTGTGTTCGTCTTTAACGTGCTCCTGGACTCTTGCTCTTTTCTACCGCTTTTGTTGTTGTTGTTCAGTCGCACAGTCGAGTCCGACTCTTTGCGACCCCATGGACCAGATCATGCCAGGCCTTCCTGTCTTCCGCCGTCCTCTGAAGTTTGCTCAACTTCATGTTCGTTGCGTCTATGACACTGTCTAACCATCTCATCCTTTGCCGTCCCCGTCTTCTTTGACCTTCAATCTTTCCCAGCATCAGGGTCTTCTCCAGTGAGTGCTCCCTTCTCATTGGGTGGCCAAAGTATTTGAGCTTCAGTTTCATTCTCTGGCCTTCCAGGGAACAGTCAGGGTTGATTTCTTTTAGGATTGACTTTCTACCACTACAGACAGTCCAAGGGACTCTCAAGAGTCTTCTCCAGCACCATAGTTCAAAAGAATCTATTCTTCGGCGCTCGGCCTTCCTTATAGTCCAACTCTCGCAGCCATACATGACTACTGGGAATACCATTGCTTTGACCATGCAGACCAGGCTGTTGTATCGGGTGACTTTAGACCAGGCCCTGGGACTGTTGCAGATGGCTTGGATGGTTCGTAGGCTCCGAGCGCAAAGGAAACTTAAACCTTTCCAGCCGCTTCCCTGCTGTTAGTTTGCTCTGGAGCCCATCCTTCCTGAGCTAAGAGACAAGTGTGTGAGCCGGAGGCTAAAAAACGGCGAGGTAGCTCACACTAACTCAGCTTAGAGGGAACGCTGGTCACCCAGCACTAGACCTCTGAACCCACCGCTTGGGTATCAGGATCCTAATTCTCACATTAAAGGTAAAGGTTTCTCTTGCTCAAAAGCCAGTCGAATTCGACTCTAGGGGTGCAGTGCTCATCTCTGTTTCCAAGCCAAAGAGCCAGCGCTGTCTGAAGATGTTTCCGTGGTCAAACGCTGAGGCACACGGAACGCTGTTACCTTCCCACCGAAGTGGTCCCTATTTATCTACTTGCAATTTCTTGCTTTCGAACTGCTAGGTTGGCAGGAGCTGGCGCCAGAGACGGCACTCTGTCACGTGGCACTCGGGTCTCAAACTGCTGAATTACAGACCTTCTGATCTGCAGCTCAGCATCTTAACCTCTGAACCACAGCAACCCCTAATTCTCACAGAACAAGAGAACAAATTTAGAGTCCAGTGGGGGCACCTTTAAGACCAACCAAGGTTTATTCAAGGTATGAGCTTTTGTGCGCACTTTTAAGTGTGCGTGTGCACAAAAGCTCATACCTTGAATGAACCTTGGTTGGTCTTAAAGGTGCCACTGGACTCTGTTTGTTCAAGGGGGCACAGTTAAGGGAAAATTCTCTCTTGGAATAAGGTTATAAGAGTGGCGACCCTTTAGTTGTAAATAACGTTTTTGTCAACTTTGTAAACTCTGCCCAAAGTATTTGTGAGAGGTCGAAAAGCCGGAGATCTATTTCTATTTCCTAAGCTTAGGGCTGCCAAATCCCCCCGGGGGGCGGATTTCCCCCCGCTTTGGAGGCCCGATTTCCGCCACGGCGGAATTGGGCCCCGGGGGGTACTCCGCTCTCCAAAGCTGCATCACCAGAGGTGACACAGGACGTACAGCACATTGGGGGCGTGGCCCAGATCGTCAGGGGGGAACCATATGGTCTCCACCCGACGATCTGGGCCACGCCCCCAACGTGCCCTATGTCCTGCGTCACTTCCGGTGACGTTCCGGCGGCGCGCACGAGCGGCCAGCTCCCGGACCGAGCAAACGCTCCCCCGCCAGTAAGTAAATAAGATTTGGCAACCCTACCTAAGCTAGAAGAACACCCAGACGTTGGGGTCAGGTTCCTACCCAGGCACTGAGCCTCTTCACCAGTTTCAGTTTCTGGGAAGGAAACACCCGGCGGTTAGTGGTGGTGCCAGTAATTCAGATCTCGTGCGTCTCATCGGAGCAAGTCGAAGACTTCTACCTCTCTGGGTCATCTGAAGTGTTGAAAACTGGAATCCGGTTTCTCCGACACCAGATTTTAAAAGCTGCTAATGTTCAGGCTCCTTTTGCTCTCGTTCCAAGTCGTCCTCCCTTCCCCAGTGCTGCTAGAATAAAACCCTCCAAGTCTGGGTCCCCCTGACCCAAGGAATCTTCCCTCCCAGACACGGTAGGGCAAAGCATCTCTGCTCCTGCCGGCAATTAAAATGCCCCCTTGGCCGAGTGAGAATGTGCAGATGTGCTTTGGCCTGTGGAACAATCCTTTCCCAGGATCCTCGAGTGAGGTCAGGGATGCGAGTTTGGTTTCATTTTACAAAAATAGGCCAGCGGGCCTCTATCTCGTCCCCTCGCATGCCTCACGATCTTGCTCTGGTCTGTTCCTTGGCTGATTCTGCACCCGCCTGTTTCCTCACCAGGGCTATTTTTGGGCAGGAACGCACAGGAACGGAGTTCCGGCTGGCTCCCGAGTTGGCCACGCCCAGCAGGAACTCGTTAGCATAACAGGCCACACCCAACAGCAGAAACTCATTAGGATTGGCTACATTAGGGGTGTGTGGCCTAACATGCAAAGGAGTTCCTGCTACAAAAAAAGCCCTGGACTGACAGCAAAGAAGGTAAACAGAATAAGAAGCCAAAGGTGCGTGTGGCTGGATGACCACACTTCTGGTAACATGGGGTGTGTGGCCTAATATGCTAATGAGCTGTGCTGTCGGGGTGTGGCCTAATATGCTAATGAGTTTCTGATCTTGGGTGTGGCCTATTATGCTAATGAGTTCCTGCTGGACTTTTTCTACGAAGAAAGCCCTGTTCCTCACCCTTTTTTCACTGCCACATCGGAAAGTTAATCTCCCTCCACACCGCATGCCGCTTTCACTTTCTTTGTTCCTCGGGTTTTATGGTACCTTCTGCATAGATTTATGGCCATTCGGGGTAACTTCGCGATCAGTATGGCATTGCCCCCGAGGAATCTGAAAGTGGGGCCACCTTTTCCTTCCTCTGCTTCCGATTCGAAGGGAACGATAGGCAGACAACTTGATGCGGCTTCATTGATCTCCGTCAGTTCCCCTGCCCCTATTTCCCCCTCTGTATTTATCACCTCACCATGAATTACTTGGCTCAGGTGGCTAATGACCACTGAGGCAAGTACTGCCCCAGGAAGATCTGCATACCAATGATCCGAGGCAATGCAATGAAAACAGATATTCCGAGGCAAGGGGGAACCAGGTCGAGTGCTGATAAAATGTGGAGCGAATGCTAGATGCAGAATGGACCCTTTCCTCAGAACTGAAGCCTGGCTGGGAGAACACGGAATTCAAGCAGCATGGCCAGAGCTGGATAACTTGCATATGTGAGAGAGAGGAGAACACAGGGTTAGGTCCCCTCTTGCATGAGGCAGGTTCACACCCAGGACTTCTAAATAAAAGAAAAATGCCCAAGAGCGCTCGGATCTTGAGACAATGGTTTTCTCTCATAGAAAGAGAAGGCCCGGTCCACAGTCATCACGGATCTCTTGTGCATCTCCTCGGCACATGAGTGTGTCGGCCCCTCAACGCTTGGCAGGGAGCTTTCCTGTTAAGCAAAAGGACCAGCCCACCTCAGAGAACGTCATAATTCTCCAACCACCTTTATACCCCCCTAAGAGAGTATAAGAATACAAGAGAAGCCCTGATGGATTGCACCAGCGGTCCATCTAGTCCAGCATCCTGTCTCACACTGTGGCCAACTAGTTTCTCTGGAGGTCCAATAAAAGGGCAGAGAGGCCGAGGCCTTCATAAGAACGTAAGGAAAGCCCTGGTGGATCAGCAATCCTTCTAGTCCAGTGTTCTGTCTCACAGAGTGGCCAACCAGTTCCTCTGGAGGTCCAACAGCAGGGCAGAGAGTCCAAGGCTTTCATAAGAACATAAGAAAACCAGTGGCCCATCCAGTCCAGC